TTCACTCGTGTAAAGTCGTGCACCAGTCGGGAGAATTCAGAAATGCAACAGTTGGAACAGCCGCTTCCCTACGACTTTAAGAGGAAGAAAAGCTCATTAGACATCCTTTATGTTTTAAATTAGTTACAAAGTTATTCTTTAAAACCTGGATTGATAAATAATATATAAACTCATGAGAACCAAGTGTTTTTTTTTTGTTTTGTTTTTTTTAATAAGCAGAAAATGACCCATATTTAACCTAAGCTGATCTATTTAGGGTTAAAAAAAAGCACAACTCGGTCGTTTCTCACACTCCGCACTCTATTTCCTTAATGTCGGCAAAATATCGGATGTTGAGGTGAAACTGATACTTTCTGTTACTGTCTGAAAATCCCCAACTGTTAATTATCAAAACTTTGCTTTTTTACAATCAGTAAATTCAGAGGTTTTTATTGTTTCATGGCTATTTTTTGGTGTTTTTTAGTAAATCGAGATTAAAATATTGAAGGTGTCTTTGGATCCTTTAACAGCTGACAGTGTTAGTTATGAAAAAACATGAGAATGAGTAAAAATATAAAAGAACTGCAATCTGTGATGTGCTATTAGTGCACACCTAGTATCTGTTAATTACTGGAAGCTGCAATGTCGATACCATTTTAGATACAAAGAAAAAGTTGTCAGGAAACTCCTCAAATAAAATGCTGTCCTTTCTTTTTTTATTTTATTTTGTGGACCGTGGGAGATGCTCTTTCTGTCTTACCTCTCATCAGCCATGATAAAGCCCTGTATGTGAGATAAATGAGTTAATATTGGTACAGGCTAATCGTATGAAAGTAGGTTATGGTTTCTAATCACTCATTTAAACCACAAAGGTTTGAGCTAAATCACAAAAAAAGAAAAACTGTTTTTTGTTTTTCTTCTTCCTCCTTTGCGGAGGAATCCAGTTATTGCATGAGCAGTATGAGCGTCACGTTAGCGTCTTTCTGATTGCAGAAAGGTTACATGTTGCAACTGACCCTGATCTCCCTACTTTGGCTCATGTCATTTCATTTTTTTTTTTTTTATGGTTTATTTAATTTAAAAATATCAGATTAAGAGGTGACTTTAAGTTGAGTTCCTGTGGATCTTCCGTGACATTTCTTTGTTCAACATTTTAACGCTGACTGGTAATATTAACCACGGAGGGTTGATTTTACATTTGGCTGTATAAACATTTCCTTCCTAGATCTGCCAGCGTTGGCCGTTACTTCCTGATCTTAGGGGCTGCTTATCAAACCAGGAAGCAGCTAAAATCTCCCCGCTGAGCAACATCACACGTATGGGTAGACTTTCCCACTTTAGACGAATCACTTACCGTCAGCGGGGTGGGGGTGGGGGGTCGGGGGGAGGCCCTGTAGAGAAACTTAGCATCATTTTCCGGTTGTTTTTGACCATAGGGAAGGAAAACTGCAGCTCTGTGATGAATGAACATCAGCTTCTCTGATTGTGGCGTTTGGATGTTTAGGCTGGTTTGTAGATCAGTTCTCTGAGGGTTTTCTCTGATCCTGCCCTGTTCTGCTGTTTATAACACTGAGCTAGTGCTCCTCAGTCTTATTTAGTTACCATAGTAACGATGCGTGTAGGGTTGCCAACTCCCTGGAAAAAAACAAAAAAGGGGTCACCTCATGTGCGTTCCTGCTGACCCGATTGCCTTTGCCCCTCCTGGCGTGGTGATTTTATTTTAGCCTCCCTTTGTGTGAAATTATTTTTTAACTATTTGACTCAAATCTGCATATTTGTGAGTGACATGAACACAAGGAAAACAAAATATCCTGCATTCACTTTAATACAAAATAACAAACTTTGCTGAATAAAATAAGCATCTTAAACATAAGCCTGTCCTGCTTAACTTCAAACTGTAAAAATGAATATAAAACAATAAATAAAAGGTGCAAATTTTTGGTGCAACAGAAAACTTGTGCAAACGTCTAAACATATTTGTGCCTTAAATGCAATGACTGTGGTACGGAAGAGGATTAGGGCCAGTAAAAAAAAAAAAAACTTAACTGATTTTGTAATTTTATTTCAGTTTAACATGGGAAAAAAGTCAGTATTCTGAATTTTTTCTCAGAATTCTGACTTTTTTATAGTCAAAATTCTGTCAGAATTCTGAGAAAAAATTCAGAATTCTGACTTTTTTCCTATGTTAAACTGAAATACAATTAAAAAATCAGTTAATTTTTTTTTTTTTACCACTCGCCCTAATCCTCTTCCGTACTGTAGGCTACATTTGTAAAACAGAAAAAAAAAGTAATTAGCTCAATGACACATTATGTGGTGATAACCTACTTTTTCCACTTGTATTTCCTCTGAGCTCTTGCAGCATTTAAATGACTCGGCTCGTCCCCTGTCACTACCCGATCCGTCCTGGAAGCACGATCCATCCTGCGCATGCGCGAACGGATCTGGGTGTCTATAAATAATGTAATTATGGTACTAAAATTACTTATTTCTATCCGTAACTCACTAAAGAATGCTGATACACATCTTTAAAAGTGTTTTATGAATTTTGTGAGACAATTTTTATGCTTTTTACATTTTCTTCTTAAACTGCTTCTCTGACGTCATCATGATGCTCAGATCAGTCCGCAAAATATGATTAAACTATGTTTATCTGCATTTTAGTTGTTTCTTTCTTTAGATTACGCACTATAGAACATAAGTTTAAACGAAACAAAAACATAAAACTCAAGACTAGATTTATGTTTTAATCCAAAGCCGAAAAAGTTAGCTCTCTGAAGTAGCGTAGGATCCCATTTCCGGTGCAGATCGGGCACAGAGTGATAAAGCAGAAAGGATTTTAAGGCATTTATTTTCTCAGGAAATACATTATTAACCTTTAACACATTATATTTTAGTACGTTTACTATTTTTGGGGAGGGAAAACGTCATTTAGGTATTTTTAACAAAATAAAATCGAGGACGACCCGGATGTATGCGCAGGGTGGATGTGCATGGTGCTTCCGGGATGGATCAGTAGTGACATCCCCCATACTGCTCTGTTGTCTCCCGCTATCTTCTCCGTGAGCAACACTTGCCTCGACCAATGGGATGAGGGGATTCTGGATCTTTACATATATGTTGTCAGCTCATTGGTCACAACGCAGGACAGGGCCCGGGAGCAAGTTCACCGTAAGTTTTGTATGTAACGTGCCCTTGTTCTTCATTTTCCATTAGCGTTTTACTGACTATTTTTTTACTCTCACAGTAATACGGGACAAGGTGTTTTCCGTTTCCACTAAAAACGGGGCAGGTTACTTCTATTTCTAAATACGGAACAATTGCGTTTTTCGAGGGACGGTTGGCAACCCTAGATGTGAGATCTTAGTTTTTTTCTAATTTGATGAAAAAACAAAAACAAATCTCAGTTTAGAAAAAAGAAAAAGATAAATTCCACAGTCATGAAGCTCTAGAAATAGTCCTATCCCAAAGGATTGGTATATGCTTTCCCATTGAGAACTGTTGGCAGGTGTTGAACATACTTCTCATGAAGCCACATATCTGTTGAGAAAAATGTTTTAGTCAAAAAGTTTAAAGGCTGTAACGTCACCTAAACTTTTTTGGGGAATTAATGGAAAGCAAACCCTTACGGCAATTTATTGCGATATCAGAAAACATATCGTTGTCCAAACCAATCTATATAAGAATGTGTAAAGGTGCTGATTTATTACCTCACTAATACAATCCTTTTTAGTATTTATTTCTGTAAATCAACATACTTTACAGAATTAAATACCTAAAAATATCAGCCTGTTCATTTATAGAACATGTTGGAGTTACTGAGAAAGAAGATTCTTTGTCCTTTTCCTTCTAAATAGCTTTGTACTCTTGTTTTTTCTTTCTTTCTAGAATTTATGCATCTTGGTTATAAAATCCCATTTTGGTTCTTCTGTTTCTTAACACTCTTCAGTGTAGATGTTTTAAGGTGAAGTTGCGTCTGTGCTCGGTTTTGTTCAGTTATCCTTTCTGATTGGCTAGGAACTGTTCAGGGCCCGTTATGTTCACCAGCCAATCTGATACCAAACAAATTCTGTTTCTTAAAGTTTAAATCAGGGTCGGAAAGTTCTTTCAGATGGCGTTTTTTATTTATTTATTTTTTTTAGGATTTTTCCTTTTTTCTGGTCTTAGGAAACAGTTTACTCCAGGCTCTTTTCTCTCTTCAAATTTACTGGAAAGTTTTGTTTCTTTTGGTGAATATTTTGCCTTCAGCAGACCCAAATCCAGTAATAACCTACTAAAGGACAATATATTAATATTTTTAAAGATATATTAATATTTTATTTTCTCTAGTCCTGTAATATAACCTAATTATTTCCATGTCAGGACTGCTGAGAGAAAAAATAATATTTTTATTTAACCAGGAAAAAATCCCATTGGGATAAAAAAAACTATTTTTCAAGGGAGTCCTGGCCAAGAGGCAGCAAAGTTACATATTAAACAGAGATACATTAAATTAAATGACAAGCACTTAAAAAACATACCAAGTAAAACAATTACAGATTCAATCACAAATTATTTCACTTTCAACTTAAAAGCATTTCATGATAAAAACTTAGTCAACTTCCATTTTTTTGTGTAAAAAATTCCACGCATAAGGAGCTGCATAGCTAAAGGTTTCTTCCCTATATCTGTGAGGGCAAAGGAACAGTGAGCAACAGCTGATTCATTGGATCTCAGGGCAGAAGAAGCCATGCTTTTCTATGTAAGTGAGATATAAATGTAATAGGGCAGTAATCAAAGAAGGACCTTATAAATAAGTGTACCGATGACACAGCATTTTCATAGTACGGGCCACAGTGGTGTCAACAGAAGGTGAAGGGTTTTATCACCTATTTATTTTTTGTTTGCCATTTTTGTAATAGATTCAGAATTTAGAGTCATGTACTTTGCAAGTTTTGTGCCCAGTAGTTACTCAAGCATCTAGAATTGTATTACATGCACTTCATGAATTATTAAAAGTATTAAATGTTCATTACATACATTCTCATAAAGGTTTCTCCTTATGTAGCCTGGTGGTTATAGTGAGTTGACTTTCCACTTCTCCAAAATATGATCTATTACCAGGACTTTCTTCCACTTACGTATCTGGAAGAAACTGGACAAAAATAAAAACTACATAGTTTTCTACAGTTTTTAATCTTTTTTTTATCTGCTGCAGCGGACCGAAAGGACGTGGTAATAACCGAGCTCCAGGAGCAGCTCAGAGACGTGATGTTCTATCTGCAGACGCAGCAGAAGATCGAACAGCTGTCCTCCGAAGCTCGCAGCGAAATCCAAGACGGGCAGATCAACATCCCGGCCGGCCAGGCGGACGGCGCCCTGGGATCTGATGGAGCGGGCCCCTCCTCGGGTCGGGCCAGGAGAGGCCGCGGCAGGAAGAGGAAGTAGGCAGGGGCCCAAACCTGCAGGGAAATTTTCCAAACCATGACTGCGAGTCATTGTGACTGTATTTTATGGCTTTGGGGCTTTTGACTCCTGAGGATGACGGAGCAGCAGAAACGTTTTCAGCTAAATATTTGACCTTTAAGTAGCCTTCAGAGGGAAACCAAACATCTGTGATTTTATTTGATGATTCCATGTCGTAGTAAGGCTACCTTGGTTACAAAGTATCTTCACTATACAAGTTCAGAAGTTCAGTAAAATTCATTGTACATTTTTTTTTGTATCAAAGCCGGTCAGATAAAGTCCTCTGAAGTCTAAAAAAAATGAACAACTTCTCTAGAGATTCAACAAAAGTTGATGAATTTTGCCTTTCTTTTTTTTTTAGACTATATTTATTTATTGCTCCTTAAGTTTTAGTAACTTTTTCTGTCGACTCTCTTCTGGAAGGTTGTGAAATTTAGACAGAAAAACTGTTTTCTCACAGCAGAATAATTTTAGTGCAGCGTTTCCTAGAATCAGGTGTTTTGGAGATATTTTTTTTTTTATACCATGCAGTTTCATATTGGTATATTCAGAATATTCATTTATCAGCTGACCAGACATCCGCTACATGTTTGGCTCAGGGTTATTTTAACTCCCCTGACTTAGAGCAATTCACCTCTGTTGTTTTTAATTTCTACATCAAACTCTACATTTTTTTGTAAATATAAAAGACATGTTTGTTTTGGTTTTTTTCATTCTGCCCGGCGACACCATTGTTAGCACTTTTAGTTTGTCATTTAAAAAAATCCCCACAGTTCCTGTTTGAATATGACCCTGCAGTGGGAAAAGTATCAGGAAGTAGACGAAACACCAAACAGGAGAAAACGGCATCATCTCCTGTTTCTGTATCAACTGTACAAAGAAAACATAAGTTATTTTGAATTATTATCTATGAAGCATTATTTTGGTTATGATTTGTATTTGAATCTTAAATACAAATATTTTTGCTCTTTGAAGTTTTTGTTTTGTTCCATCTTAAAAAAAAAAGGAAGCAAACTTACCCTCACCTGAACCAAAGCTCAGTCTGCTGCTGTTTTGCAGAAATCTTTTAAGTCGGTCACTTTTTCTAAAGCACATTTCAAGTCATTTAATGTAATCTCATTCGGATAAATGTCCAGACTTTGACTAGGCCACACAAAACCCCTCCTTCTGTTGTTTCCCTTTTATCTTTGCTGTAGTTACAGCTGGACTTACTGTTGTGTTTTGGATTAACGTCCTGCTGCAGAACCCCAATTGTGACAAACCGATGGCCAGACATTCATGTTTTACAATGATTGTGTCAAATCATCCCAAAAGTAACCGCATAACACATTAAAACTTCAGAATTTACTCGAATCTGCTTTCTTTCACCATGTTTACAAGTTTGCATTGCTGGAAAATCTGTTTTCTGAATGATGCTGCATTCAATTGGAATCGGAAACCCTGGAAGGTATTACGGAATATAATAGTGAAGTCATCAGCATATCAGCTGATGCCATTTATTTTCATTTATGTCAAGATAACAGCATTTTTCCCATATCTACTTAAAAGGTTTTTTATTAAAGAGTTTGCATGAACTGCTGAAGAGTTTTAGAAATTTTGATTAATTGGCAAAAAAAAAAAAAATCGATCTGTTGGCTGTAAAAAAAACCCTAAAGCTGCTGTCGCCTTTATTCATATTTTGCCATATGTTGGTGTATTCTAACACCTGTTTTAAATAGGAGAAAACATGATGAAATAAAATGTATTTTGAAAAAGCTGACTCATGTTCAAAGTATGTTTACTGATTTAGTTTAGTTGCTCAATTGCAACTAAATGGAGACTAGTGCATCCTAAGGACAAAATGCCCAAACCTAAGATGAGCGGAGCGGTTTATGCAGATTGATGCAGTGAGGAAAGCTCTGATCTTCATATTGGAGAAACCAAACAACCTCTCCACAGACGCATGGCTTAACACAGAAGATCGACCTCTTCGGGACAAGACTGTGGTACAGCTACACCTTATGGACAGAAGACTTTCTTCTTAGGACCAGAATGTTCACAGTTTGGACAAAGAAGACAGGTGGTTTGAAAGAGATGTGAAGAAAGAAAAAACAACTTTAAACAGGAAGGGGGTGGACTCAGATTTCAGCTGTCAAAAACCTAAATTGCAGGAATTGAGTTGATTCCTTCCTGCTATCATCATATTCAGCTAGGCCAACAATACCCTTTAACGACCCCTGGGAACCATATTTTTCCTTGGCCTATTTGTGAGATAAAATGTTTTGAGTATGCCTGCATGAATGGGAGTGAGTTCAGAGAAATTTTGTACCACTCAATGCTGTAATGTTTAAGGTAGGGGGAACAGAAAGCAGATGCCTCCCTGCTCTAGACCAGGGTGAAGAGAAGGTCCTGAGAGATGAGTTCACATCAAGTTTATTCATGCTAAATGTTTATCTGGACAGTGAAAGATAGATTAACCTAACAAGAAATGTCCTTGATGAATTGAAGGTGTTTCTCCTTCAAATGTGAGAAAGTTCTTTATGCAGGGGGTGGGTTAGTTCCCCTGTGGGAGTGTATATATGTGTGATATTGTAAGATATAAATGTATGTACTGAAATGCCTCAGTCAGAGCCCTATCTCTCCGTTCGAAGACGTTAAATAAATTTGAACTTTTTGTTTTTGTTTTGCAGGAAATTTTTCTACCTGAGTTTCCAAACTCCACGCACCCCTTTCAGAGACACAGGTTTCTGGTATTACAGGCTAACAGACACCAAACGACCCCCATCCGTAAGGGGTAGAACATTCGTTCGATTCAATTGGCATGTTTTCTAAGACAAAACAAGGCATTGTTTTTGGTCCACTCTATAAAATCTTGCTATTTTTGACATTTTGAATTGAAAAAGCTTCCTGGATGGGAAGCGAAATGTCTTCAAACTTGGAAACAAAGTCCAGTGGATTGTTGTACTGTATGTTTTTTTTTTGTTATTTCTTTTACTTTTTTGGAATGTCTGACCTGGATGACTGATAACCTTCACCAGCATAATTGGAAAACCGAGAGCAGGAAGGATCTTCTGTAGCATTCTGACTAGAGACACTCTGTTGTTTATAGAGGAAGTTCACTGTTGTCCAAAATGTTCCCTTATGACCAGGGGCGGATTTAGGAAATTTGTGGCCCTCTGAATTGAGAAGACAACACATTTTTATATTATAGACATATATTATTTGTTCTATGTTTTGTCCCTCTCTTCTCGTCCCTTTTGTAATTGTTTTTATCTCTGCTTTGTACTCGACTGACTTTTCATGCTGTCTCAGAAGGAATAAAAGATTTTTTCCAAGCACTAAGCTCACTTAGAGGATTGCTCCTTCCTGTGTTTCCAAAAAGGCCAAAGTAAATAACCCAGTCCTTCTTTTCACTGTAGACAAGCCGTGATCTGCTTTGCTGTTCTCCATTTTTCATTTGGATAAAATCATAGCTGCATGAATCATGACGGCAGACAAGATAGAGGAGAGCAGGAGGCAGGGTTACCAATCTACTCTCTCTGGAGAGCAGAGTTCGCTGCTTTTATATGTTTTGTGTTAGTGTTAGTCTCTAAATATAGCGACAAAAGCACTAAGTTGGCAACACTGCTCTTTGCATCGTTTGTTTTCAAATGGTTTGCTGCCGTCTGTTTGGACCTTTCTGAACATGTGCAGCAAATGGACTGATGCAATATGGTGGACACTGAAGGGTGGCGGGGGGAAGGGGGACACTTGATATGAGACTCACTTGATTATATAAGCGTTCTGATGGCATTTTAGTGAAAAGATTGTTATCAAAAACAGAATTAATGTGCACAAATAAGGAGTAGTTGTACTACTTATACATGTACACAGAGTTTTATGGCGCTCCCAGGAACTTGGGGCCCTAGGCAACTGCCTAGTATTGCCTAATGGTGAATCCCTCCCTGCTTAATGAACAACTCTCCTTTTTGAATCATCTCCAGATGTGCCAGAGGAATTAGTGGATCAGAGCCAGCCTTTCTTATGCTTGTTGAGGTTAAAAGTTATTTGCTGTGATGCTGTTACCCCAGCAGATGATGGAGGAGAGGATCACACTCTCCACAGACTGATGTAAAGCATCTTTTTTGCAAAAGGCAACCAACCTAAGCTTCCTTAGGAAGTACAATCTGCTGTGTTCCTTCTTGTAGACGGCTTCACAATTGTATTCCCGGTTTGCTGTCCAGGTAAACACCAAGGTGCTTTTAATGCTTCTCCCATGATGTTAACAGGATTCAACTTGTTCCTATTTCTTCTGAAATCTGCTATAATCTCCCTTGTTTTTATTTCAATTCAGGATCAGATAACTGTTTCCACACCATTTCACAAAGCAGTTCACCAGCTCTCTGTACGCATGGCTGCAGAGTCATCTGAGTATTCCTGCAGATGACGGGAGTCTTTCTGGCACTGGAAGTCAGAGGTGAACAGAGTAAAAGGGAATGGAGCGAATACCGTCCCCTGTGGTGCTCCTGTGCTGCTGAATACTTGATAAGACAGCTGACCCTTCAGTCTAACAAGCTGGGGTCTGTTTGTCTGGTAGTCTTTGATCCAGCTGATCTTTGTGAGAGTTTCTCACAAAGTCAGGCTGAATCATGTGAAATCTACTGGGGAAATTAAATAACATGATCCACACAGTGCTGTCTGCCTTTTCTAAATGACAGTGGGTTTGTTGAAGCAGTCGTACAATGGCATCTTCAACTATCTGGTTCAGTCTCTCAAGTTGCCACTGCAGCTGACCTTCTAGAAAAACAGGTTGGGGTGGGGCAACTGAAGACTTGAAGAACTGTTTTAAATGTTCTGGAAAAATCAATAAGATCCTCACAGTGCTGTGTGCCTTGTCTAAATGACAGTGAGTTTATAAAAGCAGGTGTACGATGGCATCATCAACTCCACAGCTATAAGTGAACTTCAGGGGGTCCTAAAGCTGCTTGTTTGCTTGCTGAGGTCATCCAACAGAAGTATGTCTAGAACTTGATTTTGGCTGTTAGGACAACAGGTCTATAGTCACTGAGGACTGTTGGTTTGAGGCTTCTTTGGCACAGGGACAAGGCAGGGGGTCTTTCACATCACTGGAACTTTCTCCTGGGTCAAAGTAAAGTGCTGGTTATCCTCGTGCAGCAGTGTGTCGCGGTGATCTTGTTGCAGATATTTTTGATTTTTGCCCAGTATTGAAACATGGTCTGCGCTGTGTTATTCCACGCCACAACGCAAGAGAGACAATCATGAACAAACTGTGGATCTAGATACGGCGAGGCAATGAGGAATTGGGGGTAGGTTTGTGCGACAACGGAGGGACACGAGGGGGAAAAAGAGCAGGGATCCAGGTGCAGAAGGGGTCCCAGCGTTCTCGCGCACCTCGCTCTCCTAGCTGGTCCACCTTCACGTGTCGTTTTCCACAACGGTGGTCATACAAACAAAACAAGTCGGTAAGATACCAAACAGGAAATACTCATGTAGATCGGAAGTAGATTTGACCAATCAGAGGCCTCCTGTCTGCGGCATTGTCTGCAGTCACCTACAGTTTTGGAGAGGTGCACCACAGTGTCTGCGGCATTGGCGGAGGGCATTTCTGCGTTAGCTGGGACACGCTCAGATGACCTGGTTTCTGAGTATAAACCAGTCTTAAGGGTGATGAGGTGCTGTAGAATCCCACAGAGCTGCTCTGCACAGGCCTTCAGGACTCTGGAGGCGACACCATCAAGACCT